AGAAAGATCAACTGACCACATGTGTATCACTAACAGCCACTCTTAGAGTAAAATTAAAGAGTGACTGTCAGCAGGAAATTGCAACTGAAAGCTCTGGAGCCACTACACAATTTGCAGTAGTCCAAGGCACAAGATTTCTTCAAAAAGCGATAGAATTGCAATTATTTAACTTACTTTCTTTTATGCGTTGTCAGACAAACACTTTGAAGACCACCATAACTTTTTCAGCACGTTATCTGTGTCTGGTTACTGCCGTAACAGTCTCAAATCCAGTGCTGTCTTAGGCAGTCATTTCAGAAAAATGCTTCTTCTGGTTGCAAAAGCAAAACATAAAAGAATTTCCTCCTTCTTTATGTACACAATGGGTTTACATGGCTATCATGTAAAACTGCTTACTGGACAAGCTTGAAAACAAATATTTTTCTCCTTTTTTTGGATGGAGAGAAGGGAATTAAAAATTATTTCTGAACTGGCATCAATTTATTCCCCTGACCTACTGTGCAACATTCAAAATTTTTGTATTAAACAATGAAGAAGTAAAAAAATTTTAGTACCTGGCAAAAAAAAAAAAAAGGAAAGAGTAGCACAGGCACTGCTTGAAGGGATCCAGGTTTGAAACACATGGATCGTAAAACTGTGGCCCCACCTGCAGGTACCCATGAGGGTTTCACTGCCCACCCAGGCTCCCTGCTTGCCCAGTGACCAAGTGGACTGGCACACAGCCTGACCATACTTTTCAGGGTGGCTTCTTTTCTCTAATTTTCTCTGTGGTACTTTGTTGAAAACCACTACTGCAACTTAATCCTGGCAGCTATACACATCTGGTATCTCCTGAACAGAAAGTGTAACAGACAATGTGTCACTACAGCTCAGGAAACAAGCTTGGCTCAAGCCAAATACTTTTAATCCTCCGAAAGATGTTTCCTTGTGATCAAAGTAGAGGACAGTGCAGTGTCACAGCTAAATCTGCTCACCAACTTTCAATATCATGCTTAGCCTGCACCTCCTTTTTTCTCGAAGTATTTTCTTCCCAAAACTTTTTCCTCCCTTTCATTTCTGTCGGAGTTTACAAAACAAAGCAGTTCCTAATCTCCACTTTGATCTGAATTTCTCTGGCAGTGACCATTGATTTTCATTTATGCTCCCAGGTTCTCAGAGGAGCGTGGTCTCCTGCTATAAAAGCCGCAGTCAGTGGGTAACCTGCTCTGCATGAGCCGTGGCACACCACCACTGAGGTTCACGGTCATGCTGTGGTATCACACATGGCCTAGGCTGCATTTATCCATGTGCTCTAAGGTGCTACCCCCTCTGCATCTCACTGCCTCCTGCCAAAGCTTAGCTTAAGCTCCTGGTGCACAGGAATCATCTCATTTGTCATCTAAATCATATCTATGACAAACTGAAACGCTGCATGCCAATCTCTGCCCAGAGTAGCATGCAGTAAGTACCCTTGCTAGTGATATTGGTAGAAAATAAGCAGAAAGAAATGATAAAGTTGTGGTCTGTATTGTTCTAGTGTATTTTGTCGCTATTTACAACTCTGTGATATAAGTGGCAAATAATGCTAAAGGTAAGGATCTCTTTGTACAGGTGGTAACTTTCTACATTTAATGTCATTTCTAGTCCACTGTCTGTTACCAGTGGGTTCACTGTGGGTTCACAGGAATAAGAAGAACACAGATATACTTGTACCGAAACATTCATGCATCTGCAAGAAAATGAATATTAAAAAAAAAAACTAAAATAAACATTTAATAGTGTCACAATATGCTACATTAATTATCCAAGCCCAGATTCCCAGCCAGTGTAAGGTGGCATTGTAAAACTGAAGCAAAGCAGAATGTGAAGAATTTAGCAAAGCTTGACATATTTTCTCAGCTCTGCACATTGGGAAAACTCTAACACTTATCACATTTGTCTCCTGAGTGGTGCATTTCACCTTTTAATGTCACACAATGCAGAAATACACCAGTAATTGTGGTGTATCTGCACTTGTGTTCACATTGTCTGAAATATTTTTTGTATGTGTCTTGACGTCATAATGGCACCAGTTGCTCACACCTGTGGTCCCAGAAGAGTATAATTTTCTTCTGTGTTTGTTTTTTGTGTGGTTTTTTTTTTTTTTCTTTTGAGGTGGGGAGGAGTCAGGATCTTCTGGCACTCTAAATAGTGAATTGATATCTCCTTTTCATAAAAATTTAATTATAAGTGTATATGGGCTTTATCTGTATCCCTTTCATGCTGTAGCTCAGTTGTGTGCTCCTAAAAACACCTGTATGAGGATTTTTCACTCCATATACAGCATTAAGTGCAACTAAGGAGTTACAGAGTAAATTGGCAGATCAAAGTCATAGCTCAGACCAATGTAATGAGTCTGACTCAAGTATTTTTGTGGGAATATGTCCTACTTCTGAATGTATTGCTCATAGGTATCTCCTTCAGATTGATTTGCTGATTCCATTGAAGCAGCCTATATTGTGATTTCATAAATTCAGTTTAAAGGTTTCTTTAAGGAGGTTTTTACTGTGTTACCTGCTTACCTCACAGTAACAGAAACCCAGTACTAAGATCACCTGAGGTACCAATCAGAGCATTAGGAAAAGCTAATACAAGAATACGAGACTGGTAATTAATATGGTAACTTGACATAACTTCAACCTTGAACTTTGACTGTCTACTTATTCATCACTCTAAGAAATTATAATACAGGTTATGAAGCATACCAGGACTAGTCAATACAGTCTGTGATGCACTCTGGTCTTAGGGAATGTTAATGTACTAGAGCAAACTGGTCTCTATAGTAACCAAACCCGCAAGGATTATCCACCAGTAACTATGGTCCATTACAGGGAGTGTTTACTAAGGCACTTACCCTTACAAACTGAAAAAGTTGTTTCTATGTGAAAAAAACAAGAGCACCAACAAACCTCCCTGTCTCACTGCTGTGCAGCTCTGTTCTTCAGTTCCCTTTAAAAACCATGTCCCCTATATATTTGATAAATTATTCCTTCCTTGCTTAAGTCAACCTTTAAAAAAACATGGAACTATTAATTTGCTAAAAACAAACATAAGTTTTCTTTTCTGCCTCTGTAAGAAGAGAAAAATCAGATGTCATGGATCTGATCTGGAGGAAGCTGGGAAGACATCAGTTTGAAGGACTTTTTCCAACTCTGGCCTCTAAAGAGACATTTTTGAAAGACAAAAAAGAACTTTTATGGCATGTTCATAGGCAGAGATGTCTATTCAAGTCTTAAGTCTTGAAGAATTTCTAAAATAAGAGATTAAATTTGCTCTTTTTCATTTATACATTCTATAGGGAAAAGATAGGAATTTTAAGTGAAGTCAATGGTTTTCACAAAAGGTTTAGTAACTAAACTGACTCTCTCGTTCAGTTTTTCTCAGAGGATCTCCAGTTACAAGAAGCTCAAAGGACCCAAGATGACTTCCAAGCTCTCAAGTTCAGAAAATTTTCTCCCCACACCCCTTTGTGTATCAGCTCCCTTACCCTGAGCCCTGATTTCCACACTGAAGACTCTCAGACCCATGAGCTGGAGATGGGTAACACACAATTGCAGAAAACTTATTTCCTCCCCAACTCTGAGGTGGCTTTGTTGCTGTTAGAAGAGAACTCAGTGAGCTAAAACTTGGATGTACTGTCTCTTACAGCCTTTTTTTCTGGGATATCTGGGTGACTTTTGCTGCTGGAAAAGATTTTTTCTTGGTAGAAAGTATTCTGATAACTTCTATCAAAATCAGTGGTAAATTCGACAGCAGCAGATGAATGCATGCATATTCTGCAAGCCCCACACATTCCCAACTTGAAGTGTGGACACATGAAGACACAGTGCATTAAGTGTCAAAGTCTGAGGGTTGTTATGGTTGTGACTATTCAGTATCTTTCCATGTCTGTTCAAAACAAATAGCACATACTTCAATAATCTGTTTTTTTTTCAAACCTGCCCCGTGCAGCTCTCTAAATGATAATGCAGTAAGAGGCTATCATGGGCCATTTTTGTTTTAAGAGCACTTTGGGGTTTTTAAACACAACTAATACCTTAAAATCTTTGACAAATGCAAAGATCCAAAGCAATCATCTCTACAGACATTTCATGAACTCTCTGTTTTCTAACATGTCTCAGCTTATGGAGTCACTGTACATTGTTACAAAGGTGACAGTGCCAATGTGGCTTTTTCCAAAGAATCCTGTCACCCTTTTTTGTCAGTTTTAAGGACATATGGGCCTCAGAGTGGCTGCATGTGTCTGAATGGGAATATGCATCTTCACTACAGCAGCTATAAGAATATCCCATAGATTTGGTTCTCAGCTGCTTAAAAATAAGTACACAAACAGAAGCTCATATTGGTGAGCTAATTTCAACTTCTGTTACGATACTGCTGGATCTTTTGCATAAAAAGCTGTTTATTTTTAATTTTCATAATGAAGAACTGTGATATCCTGGGTCCCTACTGGTGTTTATACACAACAACACAATCCCATGACTGCACTAGAAATACCTGAATCCTGAGACTCGCTGATGCGCCATGGCCCTGACATGTGTCAGAAAAAACCTCCCATTAGTCTTTCATATAAACAAACTCCTCTCTTGGTTCAGCCATGTCCTCTGTCCATCTGGAGCCTCCAGGGAGAGCCTCAAGAGGAGCACTAGAACACTGGCAGTAAGATTTGTGGAAAAGGGATTTTCTGACGCTTGTTCCCGATGCCTTACTAACGCTCAGCCTTCTTCTGCACATGAATTTGCAATCTGAGAACACAGGTAATGGGAAGAAATGATATAGCTGCTTGATAGGTCTGCTTCATTTTAAAATGGATTGTCATGCTTTTGAAAGGGTCCCTTGGACAGCAGCAGAATTGATTGCTTATTAGTGTTTTCCTGTGGTGGGCATGGTTAAAAGATCTGTCCTAGAATTGATACTTTCAATTCTTATGTATGAAGCACTTGACATGCAGAGCAGTGACTCTGAACTGGCACTGCCATTTGTTCAGACGTGCTTTCTATGAATATAATCTGAATATTGTAGACTAACATCCTATCAACCAACTCTATTTTTCATCTTCAGGGAAGCTTTTGTACTTTCCTTTGCAGTTGCAAAAGAATTCAAGAAAAAGGTGTCTTTTTGAAACTTCACATATACAAAAAATTAATGCAAGGAGGGGAAGCACACACCAGGTAAAGGATGGTGTGTGATCTGACATACATGTCAGTTCAGTATTTACAGTTCCAGATCTATCCATAGATGTAAAATTTCCAATAAAATTCTTGCTCATCAGAAATTTTTAGTAATAAACTCAGTTGAGCAACACTATCGACATTGAACAGAAAGGTAAATTAAATCTACAAAATTATGGGGTTTTTTAATTGTGCACATTACTTTTACAAGTGAATGCAAGCTGGCATGTATTTCTGGATATAGTTTTAGATATGGAAAACTTATTCCAAAGGCAAGAAAAGCTATAGCCCACCCAAGTAACTTGAGAGCAGCTGACACATGAATAACTTTTGTCATACCTTGGTCCTGGCTAAGGACCACAATGAAAAAGCAAGACAGTCATGTGACAGCATCTGGACACCCATGAAATGGAGAGAGACAGCCACTGTTCCAAGAGCTCAAAATCTAAGTATTAGACTTAACAAAGGACTCGAATAACTAAAACTCCAGCTATTTGAGATGAAACTATGAATAGAAATATTTCTATGACTTAGTAGTTATCCTGGGTTCACTTGATTTATCAAAATTAGTGCTGTTTTTGCAGGGACACCTTCTTTCCAAATGTCAATCAGCATACCTATAGTTTATATGCTGAGGATCTATCTCACACCATTTGCTACACCACAAAATTTCTTGTACCTTATCTGATTTTTCCTAAATATTTTGGTCTCTTTCTCAGTTTCTCTCCTAGCTAGGAACTGTGAAGTTACAGTGAATTATGCTGTCAGTAAAACCATAAATTGTTGAGATACAACCACTTCTTTGCTAGTTATCAGCCAAGAGATGCCCTAACAACTATTTGTTTGTTTAATGATTTTATATATATTATTGTCAGGCTGACTGACAGTAGCAAAGATAAAACAACAAAGAAAAGATAAATAACAGGAAATAGAAAATGAAGGAAATAGTACAAACACTATGAAGAGCTCCAATGGAGCACAGACTAACAGTGAGGATGATGAATGTGATAACCTGAATACAAATGAGTTTCAAATAATTCTTCCTTGTTGTTCACACTTGCATTTATCTCCTTGATTTGGGTAATTTGCATAACTGGAAGGTAATTTCCTGTTAAAAAATGTGATAAAAGGCTTTCATTCCAGCCTGTGTATCTCCATGCATGAGCTAGTCTGGAAAAGTCAGAAATATAGTAATGAAGTAACATTTTGAAGTCTATGTACAAATAAGGAATAAATAAAATAATAGAGAGGAAACAAATGAGACCACCCCTTTCCAGGAGTCATCCTCTCTAAGAATTCTTGGTGAATGTAACTCCAGGAGGCCCAGTTCACAAAAGATCAAATACCTTACAAAGTCACAATTTTTATATTATATTATAACATATTAATCCAACTTTTGAATAGGTTATAGAAGAAAAACATTGACCAAGAAGAATTATTAAATAATCCATTATCAGTTTGGTAAGTTATGCTTTTTCATTATGGATACAGTTGGAGACAGCTTTTGCACAGCAGGCTGAAAGGCCCTGAAAAAAGACACCCCACTGTACTCAGTTTACTAAAGAAGAAAAGACTCAGCTACAATCTGACCTACATCAGATAGAATTTTACAGTGGGGGATGACTAAAGTCTCTCTTCCATTAATTTTCATCAGATTCACCCTCTCTCTTTTAACTGCTTAGCTTTGGCATTACTGAACTGGAATCCCCTACAGATCTATCTCAATTTATCTTCCATAAAGAGTCAACTGCTTTGTGCAAATCTGATGAGAAGAGGAAACAGAAACATACTGTTTCAGAATGAGCAATGTAAATTTGTATTTGTAACAGCTGAAGCTGCCTGACAGTTCCAAATTTTTGTCAGAGGTTCTGTTTACTGGCCATAAATTTTCACAACTATTAGTCAATGAAATCTCAGCGTGGTTTAATTTCACAAATGTAAGAGCCACCTCTGGTCGTGATCAGAGTTCTGATGGGCTGTTAACCTTTTGCACAGATTGAAATAAGCGTAATTTCATCACCTTTAAATCTCCATTTTTTTTAGGAATCCCGTTCCTGAAACAAGTTGACTATCCTGGGACCAGTTAGCTATAGGATCCCTCCCACCAAACACTAACAAGCAGAATATCAATTTATATTAGTGACCCTCTTATGGACAGATTTTTCAAGGATACCTCAGGCCAAAGGCACAGCAATGGGATTACTTTCACCCCTCTAATACAAAGGACCAGTCATGTAGCAAGATTATTACTAAAGGCTCAAGGAAATTTAAACTGAGACTGCCATGAAGGTTCTTCTACTAGAGTGGCTATTAATCTGCAACTGTGGGGCTCTTACATCCTCAACAGTAAGAGCCTCTTTGAGTGCCTAAAAACATTGAGACCAAGTTCCATGCCTAGAAATCCAATCCATAGGCCAGTGATCCAACAGCTGAGCAAATCACCGTATTGAAGTAAACAGATACCGCCTTAGGAGTTTGAAATTTAATCTGGGTTCACTGAAATACAAGTTAGTCTAATTGAAATCATCCATATGTTACATCTTGATTTCATTTGAGGTTGAATTTCCCAGTATAAAAAGCTCACAACTCTTTCACCTAATACTAATGCTGCTGGCTTGCTACATTACTGTGGATAAACCATTTTTCACTGCAAAAAAACAAACACATTTTTTCCTTTTAAATTATGGCATCAATGAAATGGCTTTCATGCAAAATCAGTATGTAAGAAAACAGAAACAACCACATGTGCAGAATTCCCTTTTGTGTTTGCAGGGTCACACAAAACTTTGAAGTCTACAGAATAAATTTAAAGTTTCCTAAGGCTTGTGTGATTCTCTGGACCAGGAACTCATGGTCTGAATATAAACCCTTAGGTTTATTTCAATTTAAGAGAAAAATTTAATGTTAAAACTATAATAAAAATTTTAAAAATCCAATTTTCAAAATCAGTTTAAGTCCCTCTACATTTGTATTTTTCTATAAATAATAAAATAAAACCTGAATATTAATTTAAAGAAAAATAGTTTAAACTGTTCTTTTTCTTGTAATGAATCTGACCATACATTACATACATTTTTTACACCAGTTGAAATACGAGTTTAATTAAAATGTGATATAGAAGCACAAAGTATTCCCTATTCCTTATTTTCTCCATGGGAAGAATGATATTTGTTTGGAGGTAGCCATATAAACAGGGAATATAATAAAATCACCTCCCAAGAGCAAAGGAAACTGAACTGCTGAAGTCATAGTTTAAGTGACATTACTACAGCTTTCTTCTATCCTAACTGTTTCAGTCAAGATTAAAACCTCTTCTTATCCTAAGAGTAGAAAGAAAAAAGATGAAATTAATTTGTCATAAATTAATCTGAAGGTCACTGTAAGTTTCCCTGTTATAACTTTAAGAGGTATATATTTACAGTCCTTCCAGAAGTTAAGTATTTCAGCCTTTCTTAGATCTGAAGACTCAGTTGTCTAAGAAAGACTTATCTGCATGATAATAACCGTTAACTACATTATCTCTTTCACATAATAGTTTCAAAATATTTGATAGCAATATGGAAGTATTTAAAAAAGGAAGGGTTGCCCTAAAGTAACAGTAATATTAATACAAACTGAGGTTTACCCTCTTGCACATGAAAGCTTTTCGGGTGTGGAGATTTTCTCAAGTTAGAAAGATTGAGAGTTGAGATATTATTTGTTGACTGAAGGAAAATTAAATATTAGAATATGATCTCGTTATTATGGAGTATTACCTTTCACCTGAAGTGTTCACATATTTCTGTTTTTATGAAAGTACTCAGAACTAAGAGTTAGCTGAATTTTTGAAATCTGGTCAGCTATTTGATATACGTACAATATGTGTTGGTAAGACATAGCCACAGCTCCACAAATTCATGCCTCCTCTTGCTTGCCTGATCTACTGGTTAATAAACAAAACAAAATGTGTTGGAAGAATTGCTTCATGGTGCCTTGCAACTGCAAATCTGTACAGCTTCTGACTACAGACATAGTTGTCAAGTGATGTACTCTCTCTTCAATGAAAGGTTGGGCAGCAGGGTTTATGAAAGGTTAAGAACTCACACAAACTCCCTTCTTCTCAAAGACAACTTGATGGTTTAACTAAGTCACAACCTCTTCACACAGGAAGAATCTGGAACACGGACCCTACTTTTGTCAGGATTAAGATATATAGTGATGACTGCAGCCTGTAAAATTACCAGGGTAATGATTGTAAGCCAGCAAAAAGTGATGCTTCCTACGTTTTGGTGCAACCCTTTCTGTAATTTGGTTACCACAAAGTAGGTTTAAAAATCTGTGAATCAGTGTTATCATGTTGTTCAGCAATCATTTGATGTGTATAATTTACATAATTTCTTGTTATCAAGGAAAAAAATTCCATGATTTTACTTTTTTCACATTACATTTCAATATAAGATTCAGCAGCATTACATTTTCTTGAAGGAGAGGCAAATTTCCCATATTTAGTGTTTCTGTTGAAGTTGGGAAATCATAAGAACTGCTTCTCATCACACCTTAGCACTACACTTGTTAAGCTTGACTTGGGGAATTTGAAGAATGAGGTGAAGAGTGAGTGAGAAAGGAGGGGAAAAGAGAATGAATTTTATCTGACTGCCTCGAACCTCAGCAAATATTAGTTGGGATTCACTGTGAGGACAAGCTAAGATCCTTACTTTATTTCCTATAAAACTGTGAACCTGCCTTTATTTACCTGATTTTTCACATAAGAAAATTAATCAAGCACACTGCACCTCACAGCCACATGAGTTCACCAGAATCAAAGCAGGCTGTTGACTTCAT